TTACAGACATTTTAATTCAAATTTGGACGAAATTACATAATAAAAACCTAGAATAACTATTTTAGTTATTTTGTTGTGATTGTATAATATTATTCGTGGGTACTTGAAACTTCTAAAGTATACTACTATATGTATATCTATGAATTATGATAGTATCAGTGTTTGTTGTTGGTGTATAACGCGTTATAAGTACCTAATGGATATTGTGATATGATTAATTTGGAATTCATTATAGATAGGCCAATTGTTTTTAATAACATAGATAAGTATATAATATGTCTTATACCTAGAACTTAGAAGGACATACCGTCTCCACTCAGAATCTTTTTTCTTATACAATCACAATGATATAATATCATTGAATTCAAATGTAGTACCATCCATTATACAGTTAGGTACCCACTTGTAACCTACTGTACAGCAGAGCGACCTCCACTTGCCCACCTTTTTTATAGTTAAGGATTGAAAATTTAAATCAAGGTTTCTCGAACATAGTTCATATTGTAACCAAAAAAATCTAAAAAATATATAAACACTAAAACTCATTTTTTTATAGACATCTGAAGTTCAAATTTGGAAGAAATTATTGGTATTTAAACGAAGAATAACAATTTTAGTTATTTTGTTATAATTTAAAAATATTATTTCTGGGTACCTACTTTAAATTCTTAAAATATATTATTATATTTTATAGTTTTATACACAAAATTATATTTTTTCGGCAAAATTAATTTAACCTATTGTAGTACTAATGCCTAATAGTAAAATAAATTACTTATGATAACTGATAAGTGATACCTAACTGATAAGTAACATTTGGTTTTTAATAAATGTCAAAACCTGAATTCAGTATTGACTAAAATTACGCAATATACCTACATGTGTGGAGCCTCCTCCCTACTCAAAGCTCCGTGTTTGAAAATGTTGGGCCTCGGAACAACATATTTTGCACTCTCACCACAAAAAAAAGTTATTTCTTAAAATGTAGAGACTTATAATAGACCTATAGGTACTATTTTGTGGAATAAATGCGTTCTAGCTCCCAAACGATTTTTGAATATTTTTTTCGGATACCTATTATAACCTTTTCAAGTTTTGAAGTCCGCAAGTTTGGGTATTCCTACCAGTCGTGGGGGAGGGGTGTTTGTTTTAATAAATGACTTTATTGACAATAAAACAAAAACTAGTACGATAGGTAGGTAACTTCTGATTTCCCCAAAATGTTAAGGATGAAAAATTCACATTTACAAAATAAAATTCAAAAATATTATAGAAATAACCACGTTTTTTAGCCTTACCTAGTTTGTTGCCTTGCACTATTGTATGAAAGCAGGGACGGATTGGAATTTTGGACCAGTCCGGGAAAATACTTTATTAAAGGCCCACTATTTGTTGGGAGGTTGGGGGCAACTGGCAAGTGTACCATACTGAAGAATGAAGATAGTAATTTTTTTTAGTATTTTAAAGGGTAGTCTACTGTAATCAGTGTTATTATAAAATCAACCTTTAACAATAAAATGTAATAGGTAATAAAAATAATAAAATGTTAGTAACTTTTTTTTTATTTGAATAAATAATAAAACCGGTTTAATTTACAATGAAAGATTTTTTTTTTAAAGAACTCTTTTTATATAATTTTTTTTTTTTATAATTATTATACTAGGATGGGTGTTGATGAGAAAAAGTTTAAGTTAAGTTAAAAACTGAGTTAAAAAAAAAACATTAATTTGACCAGCCTTGTTAAGCCTTTGTTTTTTAATCAATAAATCATAATTTATACTTATAGATAAATATTATCTATAATTTTTAAAAGTATCAGTTGAATATCACACTAAAATAATTTAACGTATATATTCATATTAAAAAAATAAAATATTTACCTATTGCATTAAGTATTTTGCAAAATATATTGTTGTTTCTCTCATTCTCTATCAATAAATTAAATTGTAGATTATTGTACTTATGTACAGTAACAGTTTAATATTTTTAATTATTAATATATTATTATTATAATGACAAAGTTCAGCTAAAATTCGTTTAGCTATTCTGAGACTTGATAAATTATTTAATGCTTTTAGAAGTCTTTGCTTCTAAAAGAAGTATTTTTTTTATTTTTGTCTCTGATTTTTTCAGCTCCTCATTTTCGTTTTTTACTTCAGTCTGATCCAACCATTTCCATTTTATTTTATAATTCGCAACTATTACTATTGTAATATAAAATATTTTATGAATTATTCCTAATTAAGTACTTGGATTTAATTATAAAATATAACCAATTTGTGCCGAACTGCTGACTGCCGAGTGCTGATATCGAATTTTGAATGACGATTGATATTTTAATATGAATAATATAGATTTTAAATAAAAATATTCTTATTAGGTATTCATATTAACGACCAGCATCGACTTGTATCGTCAAAATTCGTCGTAATTACTCATTAAACTCAACCCGCCTGCCAATCTGATCGACGACAACCCGAATAACCAATTATTTATAGATTTTACTGTCTACGGAAGTTGATTTTTTGATTACGGTTATTGTTATTGATAATTAATATTATTATTCAGTTTCTGTCGTAGACGTTGTATAAGTACTTGTATTATTACAATTTACAACGTTTACGTTATAATATTATAGACTGTAATATCATTGAATGAATAATCAATGGTAATATTTATTAATATTTAATTATTAGATTATATTTACGTCTACCTACTATTTACTGTTTAGTACGCGGCCTATCGGGAATTTCCCGATTTCCCTATGGCCCAATCCGTCCCTGTATGAAAGTATACTTGAAAGTCTTATGTTACGTAAATCATTTTTTATAAATTTAAGCTTTGAAAATGATCGCTCAGCTAAGGCAGATGTCACTTTTATAGTTAGAAATATTAAAATACCGATAAATACATAGGGTAATTTTGAAGTCAAGTCTTCCTTGACAATATTATCAGTTTACAGCTATCATGAATACGTCAATATTTTTTAAATGGTTGGTTTGAAATTTGGAAGATAAATAGCTCATGATTATAATAAGTTGCCCGTTCAAGTTAGAACTGATATCTTCATTATATTTAGTAATAAAGTATTTAAGTAATATGTATAGAACAATGGTCATATGATGACTGCTAGCTAGGTACTTACCTACTTAGTACTTACCAAGTAATACAAGCTAAATATTGAAAAAAATAAGAAATTTTTAGACAACAACAGACGTAGACATTTGAATCGCTATGACATTGGCACATTGCTAAAGTAGATAATAAGTTAATGGAATAATGGATGTATTTTTCCATTAGATACATAATAGAAAAGAAAATAATGAATTTAAAAATTTAAAATATATTATGCACAGGAGCAATTTCAACTTTTGACTTGGGGGGGCTGAATATATTAAAGGCAAGCAGACCATTGCAATATAGCATTTTAAAATTGTATGTCATAGATTTTTTGGGGGGCTTAGCCCCCCCCCCCAATTTGCGCCTGTGGCTGAAGTACACCAAATACAAACTGAAACACAATTACTCGTTAAAATATTATAATATAATATATTATTTTACTTATACGCGTATACAGTATGTCCCAAAAGTCCCGTATCACCCTTAATATCTCCATGTAAAATCACTATATTTAAACGCGGTTTTTTTTACAGTACTAAGTATGAAAATTCTGATTGAATGGCATAAAATTCATTTATTTTTTTCTTTAAATTCAAAAATTTTCAAAAAAATTTTTTACGCATTTAAGAACTTAAAATTTTTAAGATAGCCTTTTGTTGAGCATATTTTTTAAAACAGTTCAAAAAAAAAAATACTAAAATTAAATAAAAATTGACCAAGTTAGAGCAAGTTATGTTTTTGAATAATTGTAGTAAAAAAATAAATTATTGTTTCACATTTCAATAATGAAATATCTAATTTCAGCACACGACAATACTTTTACATTCCTAATTTATTTTTTTACTACAATTATTCAAAAACATAACTTGCTCTAACTTGGTCAATTTTTATTTAATTTTAGTATTTTTTTTTTGAACTGTTTTAAAAAATATGCTCAACAAAATGGCTATCTTAAAAATTTTAAGTTCTTAAATGCGTAAAAAATTTTTTTGAAAATTTTTGAATTTAAAGAAAAAAATAAATGAATTTTATGCCATTCAATCAGAATTTTCATACTTAGTACTGTAAAAAAAAACCGCGTTTAAATATAGTGATTTTACATGGAGATATTAAGGGTGATACGGGACTTTTGGGACATACTGTATATGGGTATCTATAATATATATAGGTATCAATAATAATGGATTTGAAAAAATAAACGAAATCTTAACGCCAATACCGATCAGAACATATCGTGTGCGTACTCGCTGGCCAGAATAATAACAACTGTTGCCTTATAAATGAATGTACAACAATTTTTTATTATAATTAAATGGACTGTATATTTTCTGTTATTTTTGCGAGTACGTAGCCGACAACTCGACAACAACGACTGACCCACACACATAGTAGGTATAATCAAAATACAATCTCCAATGATATTTGGCCCATCGTTATCGACAATCATATCAGATTACGCATGGCGTTTCCGCCGTAACATGGACCCACCTTGAAACACAGTTTCAAAGTGTAAGACAAAATGTGTAAAAAAAAAATAAAATTATACAACATCAAAGCGTTATTAAATTATACTACTAACAAATAAATACATACGCGCGAAATGCGACTTCACAATAATCTTTCTATTTTTTAAATATAATAATAATAACATATATGCCATTTATTTGGCTTCAAAATAAATCATATCTATACCAAACAGGTTATAAGAAACAAAAAATAATACACAATACTAAGATAGCAATAGTTGGTCATTAGATTAACAAATAGGTATATATAAATGCGAAATTGATATCTCATATTTGATTCTTGCTGACCTATATAATTATTAAAAATAGTGAATTTTAAATGATAAGTGTATAACAAACCAAATTATATATAAATTAGCACGGACCATGGGTGCTATCATTTTCTATAGGTAAGGGACATAGTAATCGAACAGCGCGTCTTTTGAAACCCGAATTTGTATATACCGTGGCTACTCTCACGACACCGTCAGGTCCCGGATGAACATCTGTAACTCTGCCCAATAACCACTTTATCGGCGGCAAATTATTTTCTTTTATTAATACCAGTGTGCCCAGTTGAATGGATGGCCCTCTAGATTTGGACCATTTGTTTCGTCCTTGCAGTTGCCCCAAATACTCCTTGCTCCATCGCGACCACACGTGTTGCACAAGCTGCTGAACTCTTTGCCACCGAGATAATCTATTTATTGGCATACCTCCTACATCCTGTTCAGGCAGTGCGCGCAGTGAGCTACCTATTAGAAAATGGGCAGGAGTAAGGACATCCAAATCCATAGGGTCCTCAGATAAAGGAATTAAAGGACGCGAGTTTAAGCAACATTCTATTTGGGTTAATACAGTATATAGTTCATCGTACGTTAATCGTGAATTTGCAATGGTACGATTTAAGTGTTTTTTCACGGCCTTGACGGCTGCCTCCCATAAACCACCAAAATGTGGGGAACGTGGTGGTATAAACTTCCAATTAATTTCTTGTAACGCTAATGTGTCTTGGACGCGGTTTTTGTGTTGTTCTGAGAGAAGAAGTGCAGACAAATCGCTTAATTTCTTATTAGCACCTACAAAATTTGTACCATTATCTGAAAAAATGGTACCGCACTTTCCTCGTCTTGAGATAAATCGGTGCAAGGCGGCTATAAAAGCATCAGTGGTGAGATCACATACTAGTTCTATATGCACAGCTTTACTTGCCATACATATAAAAATGCATATATATGCTTTCTGCAACGGTGCATTTCTACGCGCATGTGATTTCATCAGTATTGGCCCAGCATAATCAACCCCCGTATTTTCAAAACTACGTAGTGGCCGGTTTACTCTTGGTGTGGGTAAAATACCCATAATTGGCTCTACGATATTAGGTTTATTTTTAAAACAAATTACACATTGGTGGGCGACTTTTCGAGCTGTTCGACGCCCATTTATCGGCCAATATTTTAAGCGCACGTTCGCTAACATTGCTTGGGGCCCGGCATGTAAGGACATTTCATGTTCGTTTCTAAAAATTAGGGTATCAAAATGGCACGCGTATGGAATCAGAATAGGATACCGCTGGTCATGAGCTAGGTCCGTCGCATTACCAAGGCGACCACCAACACGTAATATATTTTCTTTATCGAAGAATGGGCTTAATGGCTGCAATTTGTTATTACTTAATGGCTCACCAAAAAACTGATTTTGTAAGAGTTTAATAAATATTTTTACTGATTTTTGAATTTCGTCATTACCGAGTGGACCTAAGCATTTTTCTTTTGATTTTAATTTACTTGAAATATTATGCACAAACCTTAATGTGTATGCAAACACACGCTGAAAACGACTTAATTTTGAATATTTTTCAGACAGTTGAACAAAATAATTATTTTTTGTTACTTCAGTAACCATTACCACTGAGTTCGACTGCTTACGCGCTTCGCATATTGTATCCTCGTCTTCGTGTATTTGATTAAGTGTTTCCCAACTCGCCTGCTCGCCCATCAACCACGCTGGTCCGTTCCACCACAACGTACAATTTTGTAGATCTTGTACATCACACCCCCTGGATAACATGTCGGCCGGGTTCTCCTTTGTATTAACATACGACCATGACCACTGTGACGAGAACCTTTGAACCTTACTTACACGGTTGGCTACGAACGGTTTCCAACGAATTGCATCCGCCGCGATCCATGCTAATACTACTTTGGAATCACTCCAACAATACGTATTTGTAACGTTAATTCGTAACGCTGGAACAATTTTTTTTATTAATTTTGATAATAGTACTGCGGCACAAAGTTCTAACCGCGGTATTGTTAATATATTTATTGGTGCAATTCTTGATTTGGCGCATACTAACTGAGAATGGCGACTACCGTCTGAGCTAGTGCACACTACATATATACAAGCCCCATACGCTTTAAGCGATGCATCGGAAAATCCGTGTACGTATATTTTTTCTGCGTCATCACATTGCAACCATCGTGGGATACTAAGATTATTACACTGATCTAAATTATTTAAATATTTTTTCCATTGCATTTGCATTTCTATTGATAATTCATCATCCCAATTTATTTTTAGTTTCCATAAATGCTGCATGAGGATTTTAGCGATTACGATAACAGGCCCGAGGAATCCGAGCGGGTCGAACAAACGCGCAATATTCGATAAAATACCTCGCTTAGTTATTTTATGTTCAGCCACTGATAATGATACTTTATAAATGAAACAATCAGAGTTTGCTTCCCAATACAAACCTAATGTCTTTATTGCTTCAGTTTCCATATTTAATGAATATAGTGAATTTTCATTTGGAACTGGTATATATTTTAATAAATCTACATGATTTGCTGTCCACTTGCTTAATTCAAATCCATTTTTACTTAGGCATTTAATCAATTCATTACGTAAATTTAACGCCTCCGATAACGTTGACGCTCCTGTCAAACAGTCGTCGACACAAAAATCATTTTTTATTACCTGTGCTACCTTGGGACACATTGTATTTATGTCCGTTGATTTATGAAGACATGCCACTGATAAGAAACTTACAGGTACTGTTCCGTACGTTACTGTACATAATCTATATTTGTTAATTGGCTCATTAGGGTCACCACGCCACAATATACGCTGATAGTCTCGATCCGCGTTATCGACCCATACCTGCCTATACATTTTTTTTATGTCAGTTGAAAATGCATATTTATGGGTACGAAATCTAGCTACGATTAACGTGAGGTCGTTTTGTAACATAGGGCCCTTTAACAATACATCGTTTAACGATAGCCCCGAATCTGACTTGCACGAACCGTCAAACACTACTCGCAACTTTGTTGTTCGGCTATGTTCATTAAGAACATAAGAGTGTGGCATATAACATGTTTTCACTGATAAATCCTTATCCTCATCAACTTTTTCCATATGTCCCAAGTGTTCATATTCTTCCATAAATAATTTATATTGACTATATCGCTCGGGATTTTTGCCGAGACGTCGCTCTAGTACAGGGGCGTACTCAGGAATTTTCAATGGGGGGGGGTTGAACATTTTGTTTTTTATCACGGGGACTTTGTCACTTCCTTTTTAAAAATAATAAATATAAACGTGGTAATGTACTCTACAGAAAATAAATTTCAAAAATGAAAAATGTTTATTTAAAGAACAATATTCCGATAGGCCTTCGTAGGACAAGAAACGCGCTCTGGTGACTATAGAACTGTGGTAATATTTTCAATCAAGAGTGTATACGTATAGGGGTCCAGAGTGACGACAACTTATCAATATACCTTGTATGTTTGATTTAAATTTTATCTGGTTATCATAATACAGTTCTTAACAGATAATGCTTGTAATCGTTGTATAATGCATGTTGACATAAAATTGAAAATAAATATATTTGTTTATTTTTTCCCTTCTTAAAAATTTTTTTTTTAGAAAATTGCTCCTGTGAATTATATTATGTATAAACAAGAACGCACAAAAGTGCATCGGTTAGTAAGGTCATGGGAGGGGTTCAAACCCCACGAACCCCCCCCCTTGAGTACGCCCCTGCTCTAGTAATAAGAATCGTTTTAGCGCGATATTATATGACTCGCCTAATTGATCTACGTTATCGCGAAACGGCAATTTTACGACAAATTTTCCCGTTGAATCAACTGATACGTTATCTTGAAAATGTTTGCGACACATTGCGTCTTCGGACGTTTCGTCTGTATTTTCCGTGGAACATTCTTCAATTTTCCAAAATTCCTCAATATCCTTTTCCAAATTTGAATAATTACCTTCACCTACCACAAAGCAAGCTGTTGTATTGTTTTTTGATGAACGTTCATTCACTGGTCCAACAATAATCCAGCCGAACATTGTCTGCTGTAAGTACGGACCCATTGTATGAAGCTTGAAATTTTCTGTGCACATTATTTCCCAATACGAGTCAGCACCAATCAGTAAATCTATTTTTTCAGGTTTAAAATATCTGGAATCAGCCAACTTTATATCTTTGGGTATCGACCATTTTGTGGTATCAATATTGCTGGTAGGGAGGTTTCCAGTAATTTTTGGTAGTACCAACATATTTATGGTAGTGGAATAATTATTTATACGTGACTTAATAGACGCTGTCACCTCATACGTGGCACGGCTCACCACCTCATTAATACCTGATATCGATTTGTTTATTTTTGTTCGCGCCAGTCCTAATCGCTGTGACATTGCTTCGGTTAAAATATTGATTTGTGAACCATTATCTAATAATGCCCTGCATACAACCAGCTCGCCACACGCATTTACTATGTGTACTTCTGCTGTCGCTAATAGCACTTGTGCGCGCGTTTGAACACGGGCGGCGTGACTAACCACCACCTCTTCATTGGACACATTCGACATAGACGCATTTTGTACGTCTTGTTTTACATCCGCATGCAACAACGTATTATGCATTTTTTTACATTTGGAACATACTTTTTTTGACCAACACAATTTTACATCCGTATGCCCCGTACCAAGGCAATTACGACACAGATTTAGTTCATCGACCTTTAGTGTTCTCTCACTTGCACTGAGTGCAATAAACTTTTGACACTTATAAATGGGATGCGGTTCCTTACAAAAATAACAAGCTAAGCGATTAGTAGTCACAAATGCGTTAAATTTTTTATTATTATTGAATTGCGTGATTGTGTCATTTTTATTGCGATTATTTTGCTTAAGCTGCATATTATTTGATTTATACGCTAAATTTTTTGAGCTATCAATTGCCTCTAATATTTGACACCGTTCATTTAAAAATGTAATCAACTCCTTTACAGCTGGCAATGTATTTTTTGCCGCTATAGATTCCCAATTGCGTATTGTGTTGTAATCTAACTTGACTAAAATTACATGTAATAATAGCGCACCCCAGGCATCAGGATCATGACCTAACGCTTTTAAAGCTTGCATATTCATATTTAAGTCTGCCGTAAACTTTCTTAAACGAACACTTGACTCCTTTTGCATTGGTTCTAGTTCATAGATATTTTTTGTATACGATTGTATGAGTATACGCTTATCATCGTAACGCTCTACGACAGTGTTCCATGCATCAGAGTAATTATCAGCTGTAGTTACCACATTTTGTATTAGAGATAATGCGTCCCCAGACAAATGCATACGTAAATAAACAAATTTTTGTACACTATTTATTTCTGAATAATGCACCATGGTTAGAAATAAATCCTTAAATGTAGACCACTCTTCAAATTTTCCCGAGAATATAGGTATTTCTAACGGTTTCATTTTTATCGCAGGACCACCTACTTGCATATCGTTATAACTGCCTGGGACACTCACCTTGTTCATACTACACACAGAGTTTGAACCTTGCACCATAGTTTCCGCCTTTGCGACCACATCGAAGTATAAATCTACAAACGTATCTCTGTAGACTAATTGATCATTACCGGTATCTTTTATTTCGATATTATTTTGAATCAAATCAAACTCGGTCCAAAGTTCTTTTATTTTCTCTAGACGCAACCTTAACTTTATGATATTGTTGCCACAATCCACGTCTAACTCCTCTATATATGTTTGGAACTTGGTTAACTGTGCCTTCAGTTGACCTCGTCTTATTATATACACTGCCAATTCATCTGACTGATCCCCAGGCATTATTATACTTTTTTTTTTAAGAATGTGCTTACAAGGGAAAAATGAGAGGAAATAATGCCCTTATTTTCTAATAATTAATTTTAGCTCACTCACCTTAGGCTGTATATTGAATGCACTGCAACCACTGCACACCACAGCGCTCGACACTCGTACGATTGTGTAACACTAATATTCCTTAATATTAGATAGTTGAAAACACGCTTGATTTGACGATTTTCCTTCCTTGATTGATCAATTTGGTTGTATTGCTACTGCACGGATACTGTTCCCGCGGAGCGTTATATTTACTTTTAACCAATAAAACACATACACTTTGAACTAGACAATAAATTATAATTTTACCGGCTATTCGTCCACTGTACGATACTGAATTCGCGGGACGTAATATCACAATGTATATCGCTAGTCAATCCGGCTCGAAGGACCAAAATGTTGCCTTATAAATGAATGTACAACAATTTTTTATTATAATTAAATGGACTGTATATTTTCTGTTATTTTTGCGAGTACGTAGCCGACAACTCGACAACAACGACTGACCCACACACATAGTAGGTATAATCAAAATACAATCTCCAATGATATTTGGCCCAATGGCCCATCGTTATCGACAATCATATCAGATTACGCATGGCGTTTCCGCCGTAACAACAACTATATCGGCATCGCCGTCGTCTGGGAAATATTTGTATTTTTCGACGACAGCCTATGACGATTTTCTAGTTTTGCGTTCATAACATTTTGCATTCCCGAGTAGCAAGTACAGTTTTCCACACCATTATGCAGCGAGAGTACGATGAAGAGATCCTCCGGGACTATTTTAACGTTTCCGTGATGGACGTTGTGGCAGCTCTAATGACAAAAATTGAACAACTATACTCTACAGAAACCGAAACCGGAGTCATTTACGACGGAGAGAAGGAGTTCGATGGAGCTGATTTGAGCGACTACGTCGTGTCGATGGTCAGCGCGGCTGTCATCGGCCAAGAACAGGAGATTTCGGAAGTGATGTCTTGCGGACAGTCCGAACCGCAGCGTGGACGGGCTGCACTTCTGGACCTCAGCGACCATGCGAAGACCGGAAACGAAGAGGTGGACTGCACCGAGATGCGGCCGGCCGAGGCCGCCTGCAGAAGGTCGACGAAGAGCGGGAAAACCGGATGTCTGGACTGTACAGTGTCTATTGTTCCGGTGGTCGAGCGGCAGGCAGGCGCACATCCGCGTCGTGGACGCACGTGGCGCAGCTACGTGTCCACGGCGTGGGTAGGCATAAAACAGGCCGGACGCCTGTTTTGCTGCTGCGGCCACCGATGGGAATAACGGCCAGCAGAATCCCGTCCCCGTACCTCGGCCGAGGAATGCCAGACGAGACGGCGGCAAAACGGGGGAGCGGTACTTGAAAGAGCACATTGTGTCCGGGCGGTAAGTCGCCCTCTATACGTTCTTTGCAGGTCAACTCCGCGGAAAGACGAGTGGTGGTCGACGGCGTCGCGAACTCGAGCGCGGTTTTCGACACTCGAGACCATCGACTGGCGGATCCGGCGAGCGCCCGGCAGCGGCGGAAGGCGGTTTTGGAGGCGGCGACTAGCTGTGATTCGAAGACGATCGTGGCGCGTGCACGAAGACGCGACTCGTAACGGCGACGGTGATGGCGGCAGCGGTGGCGGAGACTGCCGAACACGACGGGCGAGCTATGAAACTATATATTTGAGCTATAGGACGTCAGCATCGCCGGTGGACCCGCGGAAACCCTTCCAGGGTTTCAGGGTCCAGCGGTGCGCAACTCCTCGGTATGCCAGGACGAAAGCCCCGGAGGGTCTGCCGATTCTTTCAGGTTTTCGACTCCTCGGTGACGGAGGACGCAGACGCGGCAATGTCGGGATTTCCAGGAGGAAAACCGTGAAGTATACCGTGTGTTCAATTTTAAAGGTAACAGGAAATATTTCGATCGTGTGACATTGAATTTGAATCGGGGTTTTTATACTGCATTTAGGACTTATAAATACATATTTTTTTAATGAATTCAAATTTTTAATTTTTTTTTATCAGCGCATGCGCAATAAAATAAAAATTTCTTAAATAGCAACCACTATTTTGGAGACCGGATTTCGATTTCTTTATTTTTTCTGAACAACTTTGATCTTTACAGTTTGTTGATATCTTCAAAATGGCCATGTTTATGACGGTCGGAAGTTTTAAAATAGTTAATTTGTAAATATTGCATTTTTCAACGGTCTATCTTAATTTATAGGTATTTATAGGTATTATTATAACAATTTATTTTTATTAAAACTACTAAATTATCTACTACTATTATTTTAATTTGTTTTTAATAGTATTATAATGAAAGTTACACTATTAACCTGTGTGAATAAGATATTTTGATAGCATTCTAAAATTGATTGTGAATAGTCAAACGTTTTTCGTAAGTCGCGCGTGACACATTATTTTCTGTACAATGGCAAACTATTCCAAAAAAACCGATATGGTATTAATTTTCGGAGAATGTCATCAAAATTCGCGTAACACAGCGGCACTTTATGCTGAACGATATCCCGAGAGATATCATCCACCACACAATTATATTTACGAATTAACTATTTTAAAACTTCCAACCGTCATAAACATAGCAATTTTGAAGATATCAACAAACTGTAAAGATCAAAGTTGTTCAGAAAAAATAAAGAAATCGAAATCCGGTCTCCAAAATAGTGGTTGCTATTTAAGAAATTTTTATTTTACTGCGCATGCGCTGATAAAAAAAAATTAAAAATTTGAATTCATTAAAAAAATATGTATTTATAAGTCCTAAATGCAGTATAAAAACCCCGATTCAAATTCAATGTCACACGATCGAAATATTTCCTGTTACCTTTAAAATTGAACACACGGTATATGGATCTCCAAGGGGCGGTCCGCCGATACTCTCAGGTTTTCGTCCAACGGTAATCCCGCCGGCCGAGCCTTAAGCGCCTCTGGCCGATTCCTCAAGCGCAAATATATGGCTGTCTTAGCTCGCTCAGTGTTTTTGGTCTGCGCCGCCACTGTCGTCGTTGTCGTAATGTCGTACGGTCTCGTTTTCAGTACTTCGTCGTTGTCGTCGTCGTTTCGCACTAGCCGCTCGTCGCCAACCGTCCCGTCGAGGCCGGGCGCGTATTAGAAAACCTGAAAACCCAGGACGCCACAGAGCGCCTTATGCGAATACCACGTTCTCATTGGCCCATTTCAAATTGCCCGCTTTTTTTATAATTTATTAAATAATTTAATTTAATTTAATAATATATATATAATATTAATTTAAATATTATATAATATTATTTAATTTAAACAAATTAAAATAACTATTTAGTAGGAAAAGGTACCTAACTAATATTAAACAATATTATTATGTTATTATAATTCAATAAATTAATGCGTAGAATGTGATCTCTACACAGTTATTTTTATTTTTTACATTAGTAGGTACCTATACCTACCTCAGAGTGAACATTTCTTACTGGACTAAGTGTATTGTACTTGTACACACCTTTTGTGTTAGCTAAAAAGATAGTCTAGGTTCTTCCTAACATAGAAACAAAATACCAATCTTTACTAAAACATAAGATTCTTAATTAAAATAGGTATAGGTACCTTACTAAAATTGCATGCTCTAACATTAATATATATATTGTATTTTTAATAAAGACAAAACTATTTTTAGAGGAACGAATTGAACTAGTGTTCAGTGATTATTTTAATAATATATGGAATGGTAGCTACTGAAGCTAACCAAATTACTATCCAATTAAAGAAATAGTTGTAACTTCACATGAATGGCGCAAAAACAATTTTGGACGTCTAGTTTGGTAGTCTAGTTCATCGATGATTGAAAAACCCTGTTATTATTTTCAATTTTATATTTGTAGGTACCAGGCCCTATTATTTGTAAAATTTCGGACTGCACGTTTCATTTTATTCTCGCTACCATCTTAGCAAAAGGAATGTATTACATAATACATATTACATGATGTATACAATAATTTAACAATGCAATTCAATAAAACAACAAAATACTTATCTTTTAATAAAAATCATAAAAATTAAATAGCATAATATAATAATAAAAACCTTAACTTAACTTTTTAATAATTAAAATCATAACAATGCATATTACTTTCTTGATTTTTCATCAAGTAAGTATAGTAATTGAAATGAAAAAATTCTGAACTTTGAAAACTTCAAGAATTTGTGTTAAATAGGAAAATAATAAAAATGTAACTCAGTAATGATGAATAGGTGGGTAATTTAGCTAGCTTTAATATAAAATATTAATAAGAGAGATTTTATATCACACCCAAGCGGTATACCCAATTTGAATCGATAAAAACATTCGCGTGAACAGTCCCAAAATTTCTATTTTTTAACTTTTATCCTAAACTATGATACCTAGCTAGAAATTTGGTTGATAACTCATTAAAAAGGGATTATCAGGTAGACACTAAATATGGAATTAATTTTTTTTTTTTAAATTATTTAATTTTTCACAGATAAAAAAAAAAAGAGTTATTTTCTCTAGATTTTCATTTAGAGATGTAGATCTCCGAAACTGGAGAATGGATTTTGTTGTTTGGGGTCTTGTTAAATTCACATTTGCTAGGAGAATTGCAGTGTAGATTTTCAGAACTTTATCTAAAATCGTTAATTCATTACAAAGCTGTAAAGATGAAAAACATAAAAAAACGTCAATAAAATTTGTTTTAATTTATTTTAATGTTCTGTAGTGAATTAACTATTAAAGATAAAGTTCTGCAAATCTTCACTGCACTTCTCCTAACCAATGTGAATCTAACAAGACCAAAATCAACGAAATCCGCTGTCCGGTTTCGGAGATCTATCTCACTAAATGAAAATGAAAATGATTTTTTGTGGGGCTGTTCACGCCGACATTTTTCTGGATTCATATTGTTTGACCGCTTGGGTGTGATTAAATCAGTTAAAAAATTTCTAAAAATTCAAAATCA